GCAAACAGAACCATTCATTCTTCACCCCCCCCCCCCCCTCCCTGCCCCAATGTCCCATGTTTCTCCTCCTCCCATTATCGTCTTCTTATCCCCAGTTCACCCTTTCCTTCAGACCTCCTGCTATCAGTTTCCCCACATCGCCGTTATTTCACACAGGCTGGAGAAATGTAGTCAGCCCGTAAAGACCTCGGTGCTGAAGCTTTGGACAGTGACATTGAGCAATTTGCACTCGTTCAACGGTTCATTTCATCATCTTACGAAAAAGTTACTCCCCATTTTTCATGCATTTTCTCACTAAATTCCAGCGATTTCCACTCGTTACATCCACAAAACCTTTTCATTGTGAAGTTCCGTTTTTACAGGAAACAACTTAGTTAAGTTTAGACAATAAAACTACTTAGTTAGGTTTGAGAAAAGATCGTGATATATTTAGGTTTCGGAAAAGATCGTAAAATACTTCGTTAGGTTCAGGAAAAAGATCGTGGTTTAGGTTAAAATAACTCAGTCTTACTGAAGTCACAAGTTACGTGACAAATGAATCAACATCGTCTTCTTATTCCACACGGAGCACAAACAGTTGTCTCCTGACTGAGTGCCAGACCTGCTTTAGTTTGACTCAGCCATCTTTTTTGCGGTTGTGCACGTGAACACGTTGATTGCACACAAATTGCTTTTGTGTGATCTACGAATCACAACACGTTATTTTACCGAAGGTAAAGCTACGAACGCTGGATGAGCGCAGCCTGCGTTGAGTAAGATCTCTGCAGCTTGTAAGAGGGTTTGAAACTTTAACCCAGTGACTTAACCTCCTTGGCTCGAATTTGATCCTCCGGTGATTCAGCTCTGCAACCTCTGCCAGCTCTGATTTCAGCAATATACTGTGCCCTCCCTCTCCTCAAACCCCCCAGCTGCACCCACTAACACATTCATACATCCGTGTGCACACAAACAGCTGTAGCAGCGCACAGATGCTTTATATCAGCAGTTTTTTGGAAGAGCTGTGTTTATACAAGACCGACGGGCCACTTACTGCGTCCAAACATTACCACAAACACACACACACAGAGAGCACAGTGAAGGGAGAAACCTGCGATTCCAGCTTCCAAAAGTGTTTGTGTCTTTAGTTGGCATGCAACGCTGCTTCCCATTGCTTCAGAGCAACAGAGCTCTTGCAGCCTTGTAATCTGTTCTGCTGCACACATGCGAAGAAGCTCACCTACGATTCTTCGCGAGTCGATTGTTTAGAGTGACGCATATATTTTGTTTTTCCAAGATGACGGCACTCTTTAACAAAATAAAAGTCATCCGGCTGCAAACTGTCAAACATCAGCTTTTGTGTACACAAGTCCAAGTGGAGCTCGTGAAGCAACAGGCTTCCAATTGACTGGTATCTGTGAAAAGAAGCAACTGCATACATTTAGTTTTAAATTATTAATATTAATCATAATGATAAAGTTAAATAATGTATCGGCTTTCATACAGGGGGAGTAGTTCAATGTGCTTTACCACAAAGTGAAGAAACAAGTGATGGATACAAACAGATTAAAGCTTGTAAAATACTACACAGATGAAACCAACAGTAAGTAAATCTGAATTAATGAGTTTTCAATTTTTGCTTTAAAAATGTTCA